CCCCAAAGATCTGGGCAAAGCCCCACTCTATCCATTCCTGGGAAGTTGCAATCACATTCATGGGCTTCCTGAGCACTTATTTTGTACCTCTCTTGTGTCAGTTTCCTCTTGATGAAGGAGGAAAAGTTCAGAAATGGAAGTCAGGAGACATAGACTCTACCACAGACTCCTGCTGCGTGACCTTAAGTATGTTGCCTAAATTATCTGGCCTCAGCGCTAGCAAGAGAGTTCAGTAACAATCCTTCACCATTTATATTTTACAAAGTGCTCTCACATTCACTTTTAATTGAATCCCCTGGACCAAAATCTCTAAACCAAATGAGATAAAGGAGACAGAAATATTTTGAAAGGTTGGAAGCACCATACACATGTGAGAGATTATTTAGCACAATACTCATAATAAATGTTGATTCATTCCACCAATATTTATTGAGCATCCCCTTTGTGCCAAGCCTTCTCCTAGTTGATGGGGGCATAGAGATGCATTAGACACGGTCCCTGCCTGCACGTTTTTGTTTTGTTTTGTTTTGCTTTTTTTGTGAGGAAGATCTGCCCTGAGCTAACATCCGTGCTAATCCTCCTCTTTTTGCTGAGGAAGACCGGCTCTGAGCTAACATCTATTGCCAATCCTCCTCCTTTGTTTTTTCCCCCAAAGCCCCAGCAGATGGTTGTATGTCATAGTTGCACATCCTTCTAGTTGCTGTATGTGGGACGCGGCCTCAGCATGGCCGGAGAAGCGGTGCGTTGGTGCGCGCCCGGGATCCGAACCTGGGCCTCCAGTAGCGGAGTGCGTGCACTTAACCGCTAAGCCAGGCAGGGGCGGGCCCCTGCCTGCACGTTTGCATTGTCTCTAGGAGGGGAAAAGACATGCCGAGAGAGTCCAATGTGATACAAATTATTATAGAATTATAAACAGGGCAGTAAGATGAGTGAAAGAAGCCTCAGCCTATGTAGAGGAGGGGCAGAGGGGGGTTATGAAGTAAAGCTTCATAGAAATGGAACATTTTTATTGGTAGATAAATGGAAGTGGGTGAGGTAATCCTTGCCCCATGAAGGCTGGGATTGTGCCTATCTTGTTTGTTGCTGTATTCTTAGTGCCATACACAACGCCTGACATCTAGGTACTTAATAAATATTTGTTGAATGAGTGAATAAATGATTAACCAAGAGCAGAGCTGTAAGCCTGTAGCTGTCCCACAGAGCTCTATTGAGATGTATTTAAATAATCTCATCCTCTCTCCAGTTGAGGGAGAGACACCAATGATTCACATTAGATTCTTTTTTAAGATTAAATCTTTCTAATCTCCCAGCAGATTCTGTGGCTGGCCTCTCTGTTCCCCTTGCCCCAGTGTTGAGATTCAGTGCTGTAGGGACTCAGGGACCCTCACCCAAGAGCTGTCCCGATTGGTTTATTATTCCCATAGGCATTGTGACAATGCCCTGTCTTCTCTTTGAGGCATCTTGGTTGGGGGTAGAGGAGCTGGGCAAGGATGAGATTGTGACTACTTCACCTGATCCCTGAAGGAGAACAGAGAGGCCAGTCTGTAGGCACTCTCAAAGGAACAGTGGGGAAAATAGGGGCTTTGAACATCAGGCAAGTCTTTGTTAAAATCTAGACAGCTCCATGTATTAAATGAATGTTAACAAGCTATTTCACCTCTCAGCTTCTGTTTCCTCATCTATAAAATGATGATTAAAAAAATTATCTCAAGAGCTTCTGAAAGGGTGAAATAAGGTAACATGCAAATTCCCAGCACAGTGCCTGGCAGAGATTGGCTGCTCAACAAATATTAGTTTTTCTTCCCTTTTTGTTTCCTGTTCACTAATTTCTGACTCTCCTGCTCCAAGGAGCTCATTCTCTGTCACAGTTTAACCACTGCCACAGGTGGATTCTCTGATTTCATCAGGCAGATCATGTTCGTGGTTTCTTAGTGGCACTGAAAGAGGATTCTTTTTCCTGCACAAGGTTGGCTGAAAGCCTTGTTTTGTCTATTTCCCCTATGCCTCAACCGATATCTTGGATATTACCATTCCAATGAGAGAGACCAGACTCACCAGTGCTAGAAAATAAAATGAGCAAAAGTCACACTCCCAGGACAGGCTTAGTTATACCCACAAGTCTCCCTCCTCCAACCCCCCAAAAACATGATCTTATCAGAGTAACAGCACTTCTTCCTTCTTGGCAGAGCTGTACCTTTTTTTTTTTATCATGACCAGTCGTGGAGGAAAAGTGAGGAGGGTGGGCTGAAGACCACTAGCTGTCCACCAAAATCCATTCATTCCTTCCATAGTGATAGAGGTCTGGCTGGGACATGACTGCCCAGATAGGAGCCTCATTTGCCAGCTCCCCTTCCAGCTGATTGTGGCCATGTTACTAAGCCCTTGTCAATGGATGTGAGCAAAAGGAATGTATTCAGCTTTTGCCTTGCTTGCTTAAGAGTAAATCTCTAGCCCTGGACTTCTTTCTTTCTCCTCACTAACTAGAAATGCTTCAACCAGAGTGAACTTGGAAGCTACATGTTGAGGATGGCAGTCATTATCCTAGGTCCCTGAATGACTGAGGAGAGCAGGGCAATCCACCTACTTGGAATGCTGCCTTGGACCATACTACATTGGACCTCCTAATCAAATCCTACCAGTTCTTTATATCCTTTCTCAAATCTCCAGAAAATGTCCATGAATACTTCTCTCTCCTTTTCTTTTTTTCTTTTTGGTGAGGAACATTAGCCCTGAGCTAACATCCATTGCCAATCCTCCTCTTTTTGCTGAGGAAGATTGGCCCTGGGCTAACATCCATGCCAATCTTCCTCTACTTTATATGTGGGCCCCCTACCACAGCATGGCTTGAATCTGAACCTGTGAACCCCATGCCGCTGAAGCAGAGTGCACCAACTTAACCAATATGCCACCGGGCTGGCCCCTTCCCTCTCCTTTTCTTGACCATCACATTAGTATCTGTTTTCCACATTTTCTGGTACTTAACTATATTTTTTCCTGCTTGGTTCTACTTGGTGTTATCTTGTTTTGTTCTTTATTTGGTGTGTGCTTTTTGTCTCTTAAATTAGAAGGAGCTCCCCAGATGTGATGCTCTGCTTCTGCTCCTGTTTCCCCAACAGCACAGCTGTAGTGGATGCTGATAGATCCCCGCACAGGCCCCCTGCCCCAGCTGCTGTGAATGTTGCCTGCCATCAGCTCAGAGCGGCTTCCTTCTCCAGATTTGGCCTCAGCCAAATGGAGGCACCCCTGAGAGGTTAAATGCCCCTGTGGCAGCCAGCAGCCAATGATGACTGACATGGGGTAGAAAAGGATAGCCACAAAAGGTGGGGCCAATTTTGTGATGAAAATTGAGCTTCAGAACCTTCCTGAGGAACCAGACTCTTGGTGATCTCCAACCAAGGCAACTTCCTTCCTTAGCTTTCTTCCACTGCTGTAGCCTGTAATAGCTCAAAGGTGCCACCCTTCTCCAGAGAATTGACCTCAGCTGATGTGATCCTCCTTCCAACCCTTCTCTTGTCCCCCCTCTCCACCAGGGTGGCCCGCAACCAATGACTGACTGATATGGGGACATAAAAGCCCAGTCCCCTTGCTTCAAGAGGGTGTAATCCTGCTGTGTGATTTATGCCCAGCAACGTGTAACAGTTCCCTGTGGATCAGGCCAGGCCTAGACATGACCTGAGACACTCGTTGTTTGTCTCTTTCCCTTTTCTATCTACTTCACTCTTTCCCTTGTAGGATTTCCCTAAAAAGTGTTCCCTCAGTAAATACCTATCTCAGGCTCTGCTTCTGGGGACTCCAACTTCAATCAATTGGTGTCAATACTCTGCCATCATTTTCCCAAATCACTTTCCCATTCATTTCTAGGGACTGTTCAATCCACACTCTGGGCTGGGTGTGCCATGGTGCCAAAATTGGATTGAGGGTGCTGCGGGGGCTAGATGAAGAAAAACTGGGCTCTGCTGAAGTAATTGTAAGGAATACCATCTAATAAGGGTTGTTATGAGGGTAGTAAAACCTAAATGAGTTAATGTGTATAAAATGCTTAGACCACTGCTTGACACGTAGTAAATGCTCTGAAGTATGAGGGCAAGGATTTCTTTGATCTTTTTTGTTCACTTATGTTTTCCAAGTGTGCCTAGATGAGTGCTTGGCACATATTAGGCCCTCAATAAATACCTGTTGAATGAGTGATTTTTGAAGTTTTGCTTTGAGGGCTCAAGGTGATGTGCTGGGGTCTGGTCAGCAGAGGGCAGAACCAGCGCAGACAAAAGATCCTGTGGTCTGAGGGCCATAGTGGGATAGAACTAATCCCAGACATTTGGGGTGGGGTGGAGCTGGGGGCAGGGCTGAGGGGAGTACTTACATCATAGAACATTAGAATGTTTAAATGATACCACCTTAAAGTCCTAGAATTTTATTTAGTCCGACCCTGGGTGTGTGTAATGAGGTATACCGAGCCCCTTTGTGAATTCAAATAAGTAGCTCCAGACTCTGAGATCCCTGGAGTTGCCCTGGTGTCTGCAGCTCTTCTTTTGAACTTGTGATTACCCCATACTCCCCTCAATAAATCCCCTTTTGTGTTTATGCTAATATATATTAGCTTTCTGCAACTTGCAAACAAAAGAATTTGTATTATTTTATTATTAAGCCCTGTGAGTATAAGGACTGTGAGAAGGGGAGCTGCCCCCATGGATAGGGACACTGAAGTCCCAGAGAAGCCACACTGGACCTGCTCCCTGCTCCGTCCCCCAGCCAACTGCTCTCCACATTTCTGCCTCGGAGATTCCCTTGTCTTGTTCCTTTCTTTCACTCTGCCCACTGAGATCTGTCCTATCTTTCAAAGCCTAGTTCAGATTCTACCTCTCTCTGACTCCTCTAGATCTACTCAATCTCATTTCCCAAACCCTTATCACATCCATCACCTGACCATTCAAATTACACTTGATTGCATTTCATATTTTTATTTGGTAGTTTGGGCTGCGTGGTCTCTAATGTCCCATCCAGCTGTCGACTTCCGAATCTCTTGCCTTTCCCTATGTCACATCTTCTTAAGCAGGTCTCCACTTTCTTCCTCAAGAAGAGATGAGGAAAGGCTTGAGCAGACATGGGGCTCAGCACGGATTTGCAGGCAGTCAACATAACTAACTGCACATGGGAGCAAATGTGCTTGTGATCCTCCATTCAAGAAAGACAGAGGCATTCATTTTTATTTTTTCAAAGTGGAAGTAGCTTTCCCCTCCTTATTATACAAGTAACATACTCATGGTCAAATAAATCAAATATTACATAAATTTTTTAAGTAGAAAGGGAGAATTACCCATAATCCTTCTCCTCAGAGATAATTGCTATCAAAATATTTTTCAGAGTTTTTGCTATACACAGATACGTATGTTTCAGGGCCTTCTGGAGACCCCATGGAGATCCCTTAAAGAGAAACCAAACAAAACAGGGGGAGGTTCCAGCCTGGGATTTGTAGCTTGTAAAGAATTCACCTGCCACATTGCATGTATTAGATTGAACCATATGAAACTACTGATATTCAGCTGCTTTTGTCCTATAAGCACAGCGATTTTATATGGTTCAACCTAACGTATGTGAAGCCCCGAATGTCAGAACTGGTAGAGCCCTTGGAGACTTTCAAGTCTAACTATTTCATTGTGCTGAGGAGGGAAAAGGATCAGAGAGAGATGTGACTAGCCAGTTCATGTACCACATTAGTGGTAGAATCAAGGCTGGTTCTCTTTCCACTGAACCAGGTACCTGCCTTTCACACTCTGCTTCTCTTAATATGATAATCTTCTAGGTGTGACAATAATCTTCTAGAAGCAGATTTCAACTTGGTATCAGAAAATTTCTCACAGAACTCAATCAAATCGGAAGAGGCTGTGTTAGAGGTGGAGAAGTCCTCATGACTGGAGATGTGGCTGAGAAGAGCACTGTGACATGTCTGGAGAGGCGCACGAACCATGGAGCTACAGAGGCTTAACATTCAGGGCCCTGCACTTGCAAGGATCCTTCTTAGGGTCTTAGGTGGGGCCCCAGCTATATATTAACATGGTAATGTTTTTGTAATATTTGCAAAAGTAAGATATTTTTGAACTCTTTCTCTTAAGGAGGCCCCCAGAATTGTATAAGTTTCAGGCCTGGATCCACTCCTGTGTGGCACAGAGTTTTGAAAAGCACTAGGCAAGGAGACCATGGTTCCTGGGTTCCAGTCAGGGCACCACTCTGGGAAATAGGCAGAATGGCACTTGCCCTGCTTCCCTCGTAGGGGGGTAAAACCACAAATGTTAAATGAGATGAAAAACATAAAATGTGAACAAATAGAAATAAGTAACATTACTCAGATTTCCCTCTGTGATACGCGATAATCATCGCTGCTTTTCATGGTCGTTGAAGATAACACACAAAAAAATGTGTCCCCAGTGCATCTTCCTGTTTCATTTCCCTCTGCTACAACTTCTTCTCCTTCTTCCGCCCCTAGTCCTCAGCCCCCAGTACTCCAGCCATGGGACCAATCATTGGTTATTATCTTTTGCTACTTCTGTATATTTGTTCATGAGGCTCTCAGGAGCCTTTGCAAAAAAAATCCTTATCCATAAGGCCCAGGTCTGCCCCTCTCCTCCCAACCCAAAGATGATCTCCCTTAGCACTGTTTCTTGTTGATTTTACAGACAGGAACATTGAGGCCTGATGTGGTCCATGGCTGAGTTCTGGAGGCCCCAGAAGACAATCCTCAGGTGTCTTGATCTTCGGCCATCTGGGGCCCCTAGCCTCAGATCATAGACACACGGTTCTTGATGTACACATGATAGGGGTCACTGCGCTTGTCCACTTTGCGGGAGCGGGTGTATCCCAGGACGAGGCTGCCCACAGTAACAGCAAATAGGAACATGACAAAGAGAATGTACATGTAGGAGTTGTCATCACGGCCAGGTAGGCTGGGCCGCCGCTGCTGCGTCAGGTTGTCTGGCTCCGGCCGACAGAGCAAGTTGCTGTGAAGAGTGGCATTTAGAGCCTTCAGCACAGTGTGCAGGCTTTCATACCAGGTCTGAGTCCCATTGGCGGTCTCCATAGCAACAGGGATTGAGGCAAGGGAAGAACTGAAGAATGCTCTGGTGGTGACAGAAAAGAGGGAGGGGACGGTTTCTGTTACCTACAGCTGGAACCACCTCCCCATTCCTTTAGACCCCAGCTAGAATCCCAACGTCACAGTTTATTCTAACAACTTGTTTACTTGTCTGTCTTCTCCACTAGTCTGCAAACTCAGTGAAGGCAGGGACTATGTCTGTTTTACTCGCTGCTATATACAAGCACTTATGACAGCACTGAGTAGGTGCTCAATAAATACTCATGGAATAAAGCCTTCCTTGACCATTGCAAACTATATTGATCTCTCCTTTCCTTGGATTCTATAAATCACTGAGCTTTAGGCTAGAAGGAACTTAGAGATTATTTAATCTAACTGCTATTTTACACACAGGGAAACTGAGACCCAGAGAAAATAAATGGCTTGTCCATGATCCGAGAGAATATTAGGGGTAGAGCCAGGACAGAGCCCCTCTCTTTGATGGCCAGTGCAGAGCTCCTTCAGCTCCCATGCCGGCTCTTGGCAGGACTGAGCAGCACCATTAGAAGACATTCCTCAGAACTCTCCTTCAGCACAGTTCTTTTTCATACTCCACAGATACCATTTAGAAGATGTTTGGGGATGGCTTAGATTTCACCCTACCTGGAGGCCAGACGCTGGGTCACTTGACCTCTCAAACATCCTATGTCCCAAACACTCTAGGTATCCTAGCCATTTGGGGGAAATTCTGTTGGAAAAGAAGTGGCTGGGAAAGCAGAGAGAGGCTGATAACCACTGCAGGCGTTGGAGAAGAGAAGAGCCGGGTTTGGCCTGAGGATGGGTGAGTGAAAGGAGCACTCAGTCTGGTTTGGGGTTCTACCTCCCCCAGAGAGAGAAAACACAGGCACCTCAACTCTCCTGCCTTGCGACACAAAGTCACTATGTACCTGGCATATAATAGGTGATAAGAGATGTTCCTTTTCCTTCCTTTCACAGATCGTTAGTCTATAATATAGAAAAACGGCCAAAGACAACCTTGCATCCTAGTCTCTGAAAAACCATATGTCATTCCCTTTAAACAAGTCTCCATGCTCACTTCCTTCAGCAAGCCTCATTAAGTGCTCCCACCCCTTAACCATACTCCACAAGCTTTATCATCGCAGCTTTCCCTTTCCCCCAGCACTTACACAGAGGCAGTGGGTGGTTGTCCTCCTGTTCTTGATAAGAGTATCAGCAGACTGCATGCTCCTGCTCAGCAGGGCTGTGTCCCCCAAGTCTAGGAGACTACCCTGAGACTGGCTGGGTGTTCTCCTTCCCCAGAGGACTACCCTGAGACTGGCTGGGTGTTCTCCTTCCCCGGGGGTCTACCCTGAGATTCGCTGGGTATTCTCCTTCCCCAAGTGTCTACCCTGGGACTGGCTGGGTGTTCTCTTTCCCTCAATGGTCTCCAGTAAAGATGGCCACTTCAAGGACTTCTCCATAAGCTAAGCATCGAGTTCACTGACTGGTTCCAAAGCCCTCCTTTATCTAGGTAGAGCTGTCAACCAGACAAAGTTAACAAACATGACTATTAACCATAAGGTCTCTTCCCCAGAAAAGATGACAATTAGTTATGACCATGATAAATATTCATGAATGGCTCTATGAATGCAGAAGTTGGAGGGAAGAATCTAAATAATACAGATTACTCAGGACTGGCCCACATTTCATGCAAAGCCTTTGGGCCCCCTGCCATCTAGTACTTTGGCTACCTTGTCTGGATGGAGGTGGGGAAGAGAACAAGGGCTCACTGAGTTAAGATCCAAGAGATAAAATACCTAACTTGTCAGGCAAGAAATTTGTGCCTTCTTCTTTCCTCCTGTGATCCAATGGAAAGCAGCAGCAACAATGAAATTAATGGCTCAACAAATCATTCAGCCAGTCATCATTTATGGAGGCCCACTCTTGGCCAGACCTCATGCTGGGAGCTTGAGGTCCCTGCACTCAGGGGCACATTGCCAGCTCTCATATAATGGAAGGGACAAGCTGGGAGTCACTGGGGCTTAAAGGAAGAAGTGATGAATTCTGATCAGGGTTCAGAGAGTGTTCATGTGATGAGGCATTTGAGTTGGACCTTGAAGGGTTTTTAGGAAGTAGAGAAGGCAAGGGAAGGAAAGAGATGAATGAAGACTCGACAGCAAGAAAGTGCATAAAATGTTTGGAAGAATGCAAAGTAGCATAAAGAGGTTGGAGTATAAGATGCATGGAAGAACAAGATAGGATGTGGGATGGAGAGACTGGCAGGAGCCAGATCATGGATGGCCTTGAGTGCCAGGCTGCAGAGTTGGAACTTCATCCTGCAGTTGGGGAATAGGCATAGAATCGTATTTAAAAAGGGGGTAAAATTATCAGATCTGTGCTTGGAAAGGACGCGCTTGCTGCTGTGTGGACCGGAGCGGGCAAGAATTGAGGCAAGGAGCCTGGTGACAAGGGTCTTGAAATAGTTCAGCTGCAAGACTGAGTCCTGAGCTGGAGCTGAGGGGATGACGAGGTGGGGGAGGGGACAGATGTGAGATGGGACAGGCGTTCTGGGGAGGGAAGGGCTAATGCGAGGGTTGAGGGAGGAAGGGGCCTCAGACAGTTTTACAGGTAGACAACAGACAGATGGTGACAGGCAGATGGCGTAAGTGTCTGGAGGAGCCCATTTTGAGGGAAATGAGTTTCTCCCCCTGTTTAGGCTTCAGTTCCCTCATCTTGCAAAAACGATTATCACTAGGAGTTGTTGTTCAATGGGTATAGAGTTTCAGTTTTGCAAGATAAAAAAGTTCTAGAGATCTGTTTCACAACAATATGAATATAGTTAACACTATTGAGCTGTACACTTAGAAATGGTTAAGATGGTAAATTTTATTTTATTTTTTTTTACCACAATTAAAAGAAAAAAAAGATTATCATCCCTACCCTGCCTCCCTCCAGGCTTACTTGACCATATACTTTTATTACGATCAAGAGGATTTTTAAGATATATTTTAATGAAAAACATGTTTCATTAAAATGAAAATCTATTTTTCATTTTTGAGAAGTAAATATATATACACAGTAAAAAAAAAAAATTGAAGTGGTACCTACAGTGAATGAAGATGAAGTCTCCCTGTGCCAAGTGGCCCAGGGCTCTTTCTGGGGGCAATTGCTGTTACGTTTTCTTAGATATCCTTGCACGAGAGTTTTAACTGACAGGCAGAGGCAGGGCAACCTCAATCTGGAAGACTCACCAGACAGCAGGCCAATTCGCTGGCGCTAAGTCGGCTTCAGGAATCTCTGTGGGCGCCCTTAGGCTTCTCAGCCCCTCAGCCTCTTCAGGATGCCTCTGGATACATCCGGGGTCTCAGTATTGACTTCGGAAGCTGGGAAGGCCCAGTGCTGGAAAGCAGAGGAGCGGGTAAAAAGGAAGGAACCAGACACACAGAAAAAACTTCAGAACCAGGGTGGATCGCCCAAGGCCGGGCCCCAAGGGTAGTGCAACAGCCTCGCTGTGAGCCCTGACTCCCTCCTCCTTCTGCCCCTTCCTGCAGCAGCTGGGTCAGGCTAGCCTAGGGCTGCAGTTATAGGAACTGTGCCGTGGCCAAGGGACATCTGATTGCTATCCCCGACTCCAGGCCCCCCCGACCATGTCTCAATTGAGTGACATCATGAGAAACCTCAGTTTAACAGGTGGACTCCTGCTTAGGGACCAGCTCCTAGTGCAGCCTAAAACATTCCCTTTCCCAAGGGTACTGGTATCTTAGCAGGAGCCTCTAAAAGGCTGAATGGGTCTGAGACCCAAGGGAATGATGGGAGTAGCAGAATGGCAGTTGGCAGTTGGGTTGATATTTTACATAGGAACAAATGAGGTTCCCAGTCAATCTATTTGGATAAACAGGGTACAAACATGCTTACAGCATCCACATTGTGTGTAGCATAGCTCACTGTGAAAATTCAGGGAGAAAATTATGCAGCACCTGCCACCAGACTCTCCACAGATGTGGTGGAGGTTTTATTATTGTAGAGCAGAAGCTGGCAGGGCCTTCAGAGTCCATCTAGTCTAACTTCCCTCATTTTACAGTGAAGGAAACTAAAACCCAAGGAGCTGTCTTAGATCAGCTGCTACTTGTGTGACTTTGGGTATGTGACTTCTGTTTTCTGGGTCCCAGCTTCTGCCCCCATCTATAAAATGAAGGGGTTTTACTACATAGTCTTGTAAGGTCCCAGTCAACTCTGACATCCCATGAGGGTACGAATCCCAAAACCATACTGTGAGATTATGGGAGATTGGATAGGTTGGTGGGAGAGGCATTTGGGGGGCTTTCTAGGGCCCCTCGAATCACAAGATAGAGAAGGCCGCAGACTTTTTCCTCACAGGTTAAGGTGCTTCTGAGCCCTGGGACTGAGCTGCACCTGATATTCCAGCCTAGATAAACTGCGAGCCAAGTTGGTTGACTTATCCATTTTTCCTCCTAACAGCTCACGTGCCAGGGTGATCTAGCCTGGGGAGGAGACAGACTTCGTGTAGAAAGTAGGGGTAGGGGGACAGCGTAGGGGACAGTGGGGGCTCTGAAGTGGAGTTCAGTGAGGGGAATAAGGATTCATGAAACTGTTCTTCCCTCAGACCCTCCTTCCAGGGTCTCTCTGGATAGACCTGGATGTTTGTGGTTCTGTTGGGAGAAGCAAAGAAGCCACAGTTATATATCTTTATCTGCTGGGTTGGGGTGGGAGTGAGGGCCTGGGTGCAAGGGCATCCTTTCAGGTCAGAAGAGTCAGAGCGCTGATAAAGGGTCAGGTTGGTTCTCTATGCCCTGCCTCAGGTCCCAAGGCAGGGATTGGCAGTTGGCAACACTGGGAATTTTGTTCCTCTTTCTGAGCTCCTTGACTTCACTCTCCAGGATGGTCACTGATTACGAAGCTCTTTGGATGGGGGAGACAGAGCTCCTGCCCTGGAGAGTCCTTGACTTGAAACAGGAGATAGACCAGTTAGGAAGGAAGGTGAACAGTGACTGACCCAGCTGAAAGAGGTTTTAAAGATCATTGAGAATCAAAGTTCTAGGCCAACCCCTCCACTTTGTAGATGGGGAAACGGAAGCTCAGGGAGGGAAAGTGACTCCTCCAGAATGACATGGCTAGTAAACGGCAGAGCTCGGACGAGAACCCAGGTCTTTGAGGGTGCTGTTGGGGTGCTCTTTCACTGCAGATGGCAATATTCCTTGGCATCTGAGCTGTATATCACACCAAACACAGCCTTCTCGTGTCCTGGGGCCCAGCTACCTCCTCTAACCCCATTACTGCTGCTTTCTCCTGCACTAAAGATTCTCGCCAATCTTAATTGAGGATCCAGTAAGGGGGGAAGTTGGTAAGTTTCGGAGGAGGAGATAACCTTTCTAGTCTCATCTGCCATGGCCCTTTCTGCTCCAGACTTGCTCCTGATCCCCCAAACAAGCCAGGTATACTCTCTTCCTCCACACTCTGTCGCTACTTTTCCCTGCACATTAACAGGTTCTCCCTATAGGTTCTTGACTTGAACTCCCCGGGCCTCTAACTTGGGGGTGGAGGTGTATAGCTGTGATCTGAAGGATGAACTGCGTATCTTAGTGTGATTTTCTTTCAGGTTTCTCTGGGGAAAAGGGAAACTCCACCATAGGTTCTTTGGGTTTCCCCATTGCTCTGTTTCAGCTACTCTTTGAGAATGAATGTCTTGAGTGCCTGAAAATGTGGTAGAGAGAGGCAGGGAAAAAGCCACATACAGCAGGTAGGGGAGGCAAAGACAACTCCTGGGACCACACAGTTTTGCCACTGGTCCTCTGATGGTCTTATCACCACTGTGGACTGGAGGCCAGTGGAGTGAGAGAGGAGTTGAAGCAATGGACCTTAACATATAGTAGGAAGGAGACACAGGAATAGAATCTGAGCTGGGAGGGATCTTAATAATCACGTTGTTGGTACAACTTCTTCATTCAACTAGTGGGAAAATAGAGGGCCCCCCCAAGATGAAATCACTTGCTCAAGTTCTCACAGCCTAGAAGGGGTAGAACTGGGACCGGAAACAGGTTTCCTGTCCACAGATCTTTCCACTGTAAGTTCCCTGTTGCCTACAGGACAATCTAACCGCTTCTGATTATTGTTCAAACTCCTTTGGATGTGATCCTGCCTCTGCCCCATCTCACCACAGCTCTCCCCAGTGCTGTGTGCCCCATGACACTGAGCTATAGGCCATTCTCCAAACATTTCCTTGCACTTGCACACCTCTTGCCTTTGTTTATGCTGTTTTCTTAGGCAGGAATGCCCTTCCTCTTTTTATCTGCCTGATGAACTCCTACTCATCCTTGAAGACCCAGCTCCAATGTCACCTTTGTAGACTCTCTCCTGAGACATCCCCTTCCCGACTCCCTAGCCAGTCTCTTCCTCTTGTCTGTTCCTAAACGGCTTTGCATAAAACCCTATTAGAGCACCATGCCGTACTGAAATTGTGTGTATCTATATAGATATCGATATGTATGCTAAACTGTGTGCTGTGAGGTGTGAGGGCAGGGATCTGTACCTCGCACATTTCTCTATTCCCTGGGCCTGAGCACATAGCGAGCACTCAAGAACAAATGAATCTATTCTTCCTCTTATGAGACCATCTCCCCTCCAGCACACACATACACATTTGTGAAAACAGATTACAGTACTTAAAAAGCAACTTCAAGGGCAGGCCAAAACAGATTCCATTTGTTCTGGGGAAGGGGAGGCTCGAAGAAAAGAAGCCATCTCAGTCAGGTAGGGAAGTGAGTCAGGGGAGGAGGAATTCTAAGCCTCCTTCGGAAGCCTAGACGTTCCTTGCACCTGAACCCCATTCAATCCAAAGGGCAAACAATCTTGGCCCCAAAAGCCCGGCAGTGGCTTTGCAATCCTCTTTCCTGTGTACCTACCAGGGTGTGGCCACACACCCACTCACTGAACACACAGTCCAACTCCCAGTCGCCCAGCCTGTGCTCTGCCTTTCAAGCGTGCCTTTCATGGTTCCGATCTTGGTGGTATGCTTGGCTGTGTGACCTTGAGCACTGTATTTATTTCCTCTGGAACTCATCTCTGAGATGGGATAATCACCCCTGCCCTGCTCACCTCACATGGGACCTGGGGGAGACAATAGAGGGGAAGGTGTTTTAGAAATTACAAAGTATTATACAAACATAAGAGATAATCATTGGGCAGCCGGGTCACCTTGTTTCCTTTTCTGTTTCTCTATCCTTCCCCCCAATGTTACCAAGAACAGCCAACCCCATGTCCCCTCTCCCCATCCTTGGTTCTCCTACCCTCAGAAGGAGCCAGGAGGTTCTTCTGACTCTTCTTGATTCTCAGACACACTTACCTCCTTCAGAAGGCTTCCTTGTTTCCCATCCTCTCTGATCAGCCCTGTAGTCTCTTTCCATTTAGTAGTACCATTCTGTAGTCCTGTAGTTGATGGAGAACACACCAGAGCTGGAATCAAGAGACCTGCCGCTATTTTGCTGACGGGTCTAGCCATGTGTTTTGGTTAAGTCACTTCTGCACTCTGGACCTCATTTTCCCCATCAATAAGGTGGAGTTTTTTGTCTTGCCTCCCTCTTAGTAGGTATTTTGAGCATCTACCTATTCAGATAGAAATGTGTTTTGAGAAGTGTGGAGTGAGTGAGGGATGAAGAAGGTTGTTGGTTATCATCTCAAGGAGTCAAGAAAATCTGAAAGCAGTTTCTTCGCATCCAGCATGGGTCTCCTCCACTTGGAGCCAACAGAGTAGCTGGATGCCAGGAGATCATGAGGAGCTTGCAAATCTACAATGTGCCTTTGTAGGAGAAGTGGAGAGAGCCCCGGGCTAGGAGTGAGAGACTTGGATTCTACTTCTATCTGGTCCCTGGTGTGGCCCTGGACAAGCCATTGCCTCCCTGGGCCTCAGTTTCCCATATGCAAATTGGTGAGGAGTAGGGAAGGGGGGTAGGAGGAGATACTCTCTATGGACCCTCACACAAGAACTCATCTTCTTTCTAGACAAGAGACTCCCAGGTCCAGGACCATTTCCCCTCATGTCACATGGAGTGCAGGGGCAACAGGATCAGGAGGCCCGTTTTACAGGCGGTGACCCAGGAAAAGAAAGCACAAGGCATAAAGCCGGTGCGGGAGGGGCACAGTTTACACAACCTGTAAACTAGAACCCAACTGTCCTGACTCCCAGCCTAGACCTCTGTTATTAGCAGCAGAAGATGCCTTTGGGAGTCCCCGGGTGAGGGGCACAATGGAGTAGCGAACGGGCAAGTCAACTCCGCGGAGCAATTGGCTCCCGCCAAGCAAGAAGACCGCGCTGGGTCCGGGCGTGCCGTTTCCGCGTGTGCGCGGGCTGCGGACCCGCAGGTGATCGCCTGCATATTTGCGCATGTGGAAGGAGCTTCCGTGCGGCCGTCCCGGGACCTGAGTGCCGGTGCAAGCTCCCACGGTTTCCAGGCGGGGCGTGCCAGGAGCCCAGCTCCGCACTCCCACGTGGGGCCCCGGGATCCCTGCGGCTCAGTCCTGGGGAGGATCAGCTCGGTATTTGAGATTTGAGCCTCCCCCCGCCTCCTGTCGGCGGTCTCAGGGGAGGCGGGAAGATCCCTCTTCTCTACCCCGGCTGCAGCTCAGCCTCAGCGACTCTGCGGGCGCGCCTGACCTACCTCTCAGCAAGACTCCGAGGGGCGCCGTCGGCTCGTCGGACCCCGGGCCCTTGCTCGCGGGTGCCCCTGCGATGCACCCCTCTGCTCTCCGCCGACCCCTCCGCGCGCAGCCCACGCCCAGCACCGCCCCGCGCCCCCTTCGCTCTGCGCTCCGACCCGCGCTGTCTGCTCCCTTTTTCCTTGCCCTGGGCGTCCTCTCCTCTGGCCCCGCCCGGCCCCCAGCACACCCACTTCTCCTCCCCGGGCTGGCGTCGGGCGCCTCCGCCCAGCTGCATGGCCTCACCCGGCTGTGGGCTCCTACCCTTCCGTCCCCTGCAGCGCCCGCTTCCTGGACCTGAGACCGAATGCCTCCCACTTCACTTCAGCTTGCCCGGCCTGAGACCCGTCTCCAGAAGGCGAGGCAGAGCGTCGGGGGCTGGTGGAATCAGGCTTTGCTCCTAAGAGGCTGTGTGATGGTGGGCAAGTCACGGCTCCTCAATGGGCCTTGGCTTCCTCGCTGTAAAATGGGTAGAGTTCCTGCATGCATTCTTCACGGGCTGATAGTTAGGGTCAGATGAGATCTTAGAATCCAAAATATTAAAGCTCCATGGTCACCAGAGAAGTCATCTGATTCTAACACAAACCGTCTTTCTCAGACAGGATGCCAAGGCCCAGTTTGGGGAAGAGACTTGCCCGGCTCTCCAAGGAAGTCAGTGGTAGAGCTCAGACTCAGAATCCGCTACACACTCTCTCTCCTTCCTTCTAGCTGAAGTCTCTTCCCTCCAAGTCTCAACAGCCCCTCACATGCCCAGGCAACTGGTATCCAGCCACACCTTGCTGGTCCCTGTCCCAGAACACTGTACCCTTTCTGGCCACCAGGCCCTTCCTCACACTATTGCTTCCTTGCTGGTGACACTGCAGGCTCTAGAAAAGAGAAGCAGCCCGGGGCAGCTGGGAAATGAGGGCCAGGAGGCTGTGCAGGGCAGTGGACAGGGGCAGGGAACAGCCTCTCAGGGGCTCTATGGGGAGTCTTTATCAGAGCCCTCTTTACCAGCCTGTGGCCTTGGAATAATTAATAACGAACTGAGGCTAGCTCTTGCCCCCTTGCAAAAAAAGATCTGTTCTGGAACATCTGAGGCACATACCCTCCCTCAATCACAGAATCTCAGATTATATCTGAAAAGTGCTATCATTTTTATAAGACCTACTGCATGGAAGGAATGTTGTACAAAATTGCTAATCTTCATCAAAACACATTACTTCCGTGTTATTTCTGTGGTTACATATTTTGACCCAGCTACTCCTATTTCTCAGTGTGGATATCCCCTCTCAGGGAAGTCATCTTGACCCTGGGCATGCAGCCTCAAATTTCAGTCTGCCTAAGAATCACCCCATCATTTTAGTACAGCAGACTTTTGGGTTCCGCTCCAGAGGTTCTGATTCAGGAGATCTGGAATGGAGCCCAGAAATGAGCATTTTTTAAAAAAAGATTCCTGAACGATTCTGATGCAAGGGGTTCTTGAGACCAGCCTTGAGGAAATAGCCATGGCTCAGTTACGGTTCCTTCCTACATCCTGCCAGGGCCTTGCATTTACTTTATAGGACTGTTTATTCCAGTTATGAAAAGTAACTATTTGTCCACTCATCTACTAGACTATGAGTTCTTTGAAGATAGGGATTGTCTCTTATTCTAATAAAATTTTAGAATCAAGTCTTAGAATCATACCATCTTAGAGTTCTAGAATCATTTAGTGATAGAACCTAAGTTGGAAGGACTCTTACAGTTATCTAGGCAGATTCCTTACCTAAGAATCCCCTATATTTCATTTTTGACATAAGATTGTCCAGCTTCCCTTGCACACCTCTAGTGACAAGGAGCTCATTGCCTCTGAGGTAGCCATTTTGAGAAAAGCCTTCTATTGGCTTTTATCCTTTGGTCCTTATGCCCATTGGAGACATAAAGTATACACCTAATCTTTGTTCCCTTTTTCAGTCCTTCAGAAACTTAAGGCCTATACTCTACTTGCCCTTCTCGAGTGAGGATAGGACAGGAACCCCGTTAGGGAAGGTAGCTGGCCAAGAGGCCGTTGGAAAGTGGACTGAGCTGCCTCATTTTCCCCATCTGTGCCTTGCAAGCTTGCTGTGAGGCTTAGGTGACCCAATGTGCGTAAGATGCCAAGAGCTGGGCCTAGCGTGATACATGTGCTTAATAAATGGCAGCTTCTAGTGTTATTAGATGAGAAAAGGAAGGATGAAACAGAATTCCTGTCCCGGAGAGACTATAGTCTGAGAAGAACCTTCAGGGAACTCTCTAATCTGAAGAAGTTGGGGATGAGGCCCTGACCTTGGGACAGGGAGGGCAAGGGTGTGGGGTGGGCTGACTGAAGGGATGGGGGAAGACTCACCTAGAGATACACCTCCTTCCAGTCTTTGCTTAAGTGCCACCTTCTTGGTGAGGCCTTCCCTGACCATCCTATTTACAAATCCCAATCCTTCCCTTCTCCTGCCCTCCCTAACCCTCTTCCCTGCCTTGTTTTTCAATAACGCTTAACATCGTCTGATATATTTAACTTTAAAAAAAAAATCTTTTGCTGTTGTTGCTCTTGCTGAATCCCTCAACTGAAGCTCATAGCCCCTGTCTGTCAGCCCTGAATCAGAGCTCTCCCTGTCTCTGGATTCCTGTAACCACCCCCTTCTTTCTCCTCCAGGCCCAGGGCGGTAATGATGCCCAAATGTTTCAAGCTCCAGGGTACTTCACGACCTGTTTTGGTTTCCCTACTCCCTGTCCACCTCTTTGAAAAGAGCCTCCTCAAATTACTGACAGGAGGTGGCCACCAGACCTGGCTGATACAGAGGCCCATTCTCCTGCAGCCCCTTGAATTTCCTTTGCACACAACACTTACTATTCTGTGTTGTAATTGTCTACTTTGTTGACTCCACACCTAGAACATAAGCTTCTGGAGGGTACTAAGAATTCTCCTTCCTGAGCATTTGTTGAATAAATGAAAGACTGAATGAATGAAGGTCATGAAAGGGAAGATCACTGGGAATTATGTTATCAGGGAAAGCTTCCAAGAAGACAGAGAACCTGAGAAAGTCTGGAAGGATAACAGGGTGCTTTTTCAACCTCTGGGCCAGACCTCTCCTCTGAGCACTAGACTCCTATATGTAACTACCTACTTGACACCTCTGTTTGAATAACACTTTGAGGCTGGAACTCTTGACTTCCTTCCCTGGCTCCCCTCAGTCTTGTGTCTCTCAGTAAATGAAACCATCATCCATCCAGTTCCTTGTTTTTTTCCTTCATAAAACTCAACCCAGTCTTCTGTTTATCTGTGTACTGATTTGGGGTCTGCCTGTCCCATTAGACTGTACGAACTACAAGAACACAGACCAGGGGTGTCTTCTTCACCGTAGAATACCCGGGATATAACTCAGTGTCTGTCTAGTAGGTGAGGAGAAGGGTTGGGAGGTAGGGTGAGCATGGATGGTGTCTGTCAGCAGTCTCAGAAGCCAGGGAAAAAACAGCATGAATCACAGAGGAAGTTTGACGGTCACATCAAGTTACTTTGTTCCATTACTCATCAGGAGCCTGTGTCTGTGCTTCCGTGATCTTGTCTCCTCTTGGCCTGTCAGTCTGACCCTCGGAACACTTTGTCTTCTCGTTCTGAGCTTCACCCTTCTCTTGCCTCTGCAGGCAGCACAAAGCAGTGGAAAGAGCACTGGAAGAGGTGGAGCAAGTGTGGGACAGTGTGGTCTCAGAAGACCGAAGATCTCAGTGGTCTCCTGTCCCCACCTCCCCCTCACACATGCTGTGTCCTTGCTTGTGGGAAGCAAGGTGGCACAGTGGTCCAGAACACGGCCTTGGGGTCCAATAGAGCTGGGTTTGAATCCTAGCCCTGCCACTTATTGGTTGTGAGAGCTTAACTTCTCTGAGTCTTAGTTTCCTTATCTATAAAAGGGGGATAAAAATACCTACATCTTATGGTTGCGTGGATTACAGTAAGATATTATAGTCATGCGCCACATAACGACGTTGCAGTCAACGACTGACCACATGTATGACAGTGGTTCCATAAGATTAGTACCATATAGCCTAGGTGTATAGTAGGCTATACCATCTTGTGAAAGTACACTCTATGATGTTTGCACAACAATGAAATCACCTAAGGATGCATTTCTCATAACATATCCCCGTCGTTTAGTGACACATGACTGTATGTGTAAAGTGCTTCACCAGGTACCTGGTACATAGCAAGTGCTCCATAAAAAATAACTATTAATGAGGGCATGTGTGTTCATGGTTGTGTAAATATGGACTTTTGGATCTTATGGCTTAAACAATAAGAGCTATGGGAATGCAGAAGAAAGTGGGGTCAGTGAGGACTAGAGTTTTCAGAGGAGGTGGGTGTATCAGTCAGGAATCTTAGTTGCAACAGACAGAAAACCCAACTCAAACTGACTTAAGCAGAAAAGGGAATTTAATAGCTCATGTAATTGCAAAATCCAGAGGTATTCAGGTATGGCTGGATCCAGGAGCTCAGATGATGTCTTCAGGAAGCTGTCTCTTTGCATCTTTGGGCTCTGCTTTTCTCATTGTTGCCCCATTCTCAGGCAGGATCCCACTTTGTGTTAACAAGATGGCTGCCTGCAGTTCCATGCATACACTCTATCTTGTCAGTAAAACCTGTAGAAAGAGCTTCTTTTCCCCAAACCCTCCTGACAGAGTCCTAGGTCAGAATTACTGTCCTGATACAGGCCCAGTGCCCATCCCTGCACCAATCACAGAAGCCAGGGAAAGAAGCTGGCAGGGGCATCATCTGTATTCAAACCACGTAAACTCGGGTGGCAGAAACTGGTGAAGGGGGTCAAAAGGTACAAACTTCCAGTTATAAAATAAATAGTCATGGGGATGTAATGTACAACATGGTGACTATAGTTAATAAGACTATATTGCATGTTTGAAAGTTGCTCAGAGAGTAGATCTTAAAAGTTCTCACAAGAAAAAAAACTTTGTAACGATGTAAGGTGATGGATGTTAGCTAGACTTATTGTGGTGATCATCTCACAATGTATACAGGTATCAAATCATTATGTTGTACACCTGAAACTAATATAATATGTCAATTATACCTCAAAAAAAAAAAGCCCACATAAACTTAAAGTTGGTGGGGGGTGGGGGTATGATTCCCTAAGGAAAATTTGGATGCTGTTATCAGAAGTAGGGTGAATGGCTGTACAGGCTGAAACAACAAGTGTCCTCTACAGTGGGCCGTGGAAAACAGATGTGAGTTGGGCAGAGAAGGAAGGAAGCCACCCCAGAGATTCAGAGCTGAGCAAAAGTGAGAAGAGGGTGTAAGTGTGCTGTGGGCACGGCTCACTCTTCTGGGGCAGAGGGAGCAGGCATGTTCTGTGGCGTCCAGAGAGAAGACCTGGGACCAAGTGGACTTGGGGATGGGGGAGTCACAGGACCCAGATCTTCCCTTACTGGGAGCGTGAAACAGGCTGCCTTTGGTGGGAATGGGCTTCTCATCACTGGAGGTGTGCAAGCAGAGCTTCCTTGTCAGAGTGGCTATCAAAGA